TATTTTACTTAATTTTTAAATTGTATCTGAATATATATACATGATGAAGATAAGGTGATTTTATTAAAATTATTTTACAGTATTAAATTTTACAATTAATCATAAAAACTTACAATACACTGACATTATAATACATGGAAATAAATTCGATTTTTATTACATCGTGTGTAGATTAAATCTCAAACAAATAAATCTGAAGATATCGAGTTAGTACATAGTGTCATGTATAGCCGAGCGCATCACCCGCCCCGCGTCCCGCAAACCATCAGGAGGGCCAAGCTTACGGCGGTTTAACTATAGGTATACTAATCATATTAACAGTATAATTCATAATTATAATGCGGCAAAAGTCTTAAATTAATTATTGTTTATTTATTAATATCATTACTTTCTGTCATTTATATTTACTTATATATTTATTTTTTTCTTTTTTAGAAAAGAATTACGTACGGTACGTAATTCTTTTCTAAAAAAGAAAAAAAATTGGATAAAAAAATCAACGCATTTATCCACTCTTATTGTAATTTTGACTTTAAAGACGAACTGCGGACTACAAACTACAATTCAACCAACCGGTATAAATGAAAATTAAGCCAAGTTTACATAGACACGACGGTAGACTACAGGACTATTATTTGTAATGCAGAAGTCACTGAGGCCCTTAGTCGAGACATGTACGGCCTATAGTCGGTCTCGGAATAAAATTGGCGCAATTATACGATCGACTACAACACAGGCTAAATTGCCCCATGCACCTGCAGAATGTTCTAGAATTTGACTTTCAAAGTACTGCACAAAAAAAAATAGCTAAGAAGACATGTATGTCGAAAACAAAATACCAAAAAATATATTAAGATTTGGATTCTAACTTAATTACTTTTTTGGGCGATAGAGTTCAATTTAAGATAATGGTGAGTTACGACATTTTCGCTTCAATGATTTAAAAATCTTTCTAGGTACTTTCAATACTTGGGATTATTGATATTGGAAATAAAGTGCAGTTCATTATAACAACATAAGAATCATTTTCTTATAAAGAATTAAAAGGACTTAAAAACATAAATGCTTCAAATAAATACATTAGAAAAAGGGTGGTTGCAAATAAAACTCTTAATTAGGCTATCACCAATTTAAAATCCTTAAAATAATTTTAGAACAATCATTATAACTTGATCACAATGTAAATAAACTTTTACATATTTTACGTAAGATTTATTGATTAATTATTGCATTACCCTGATCAAGTGATCATAATGTTTACAAAATGAGCAAGTTAATTTTCTACTGACGGTAAATAAGAAAAATATATATAATCCAACATAATATCATAGTTTGGACAAGTCTCTAATAAAAAAGCTCTCAAATACACACATAGCAACAAACACATAGTCAGTCTTTTGGCTTCAATAATAATTTTAGTGCCAATCTATATATATTATTTATACTCAAAAAGTTCTTCACCGATTGAGCTCAAACTTTGACACGAAATAATTTAAAGTTTTATAAATTTTCTGCAACCACAATATGCCAGAGCGAAGCATAGCAAGGTACAGTTAGTTAATTATAAAAGTTCAATATTGACAAAATGGTCGCCGTAAAAAGATTTACAAATTTAAAAAGCAGTTGCAAAAGGACAGAATGAGAATAAAAATTGTAATGTATGTAATTGTAAAGAAAATATTGTAAATACATGACCATGATAGAGTATTGTAGTATACAATACTCTGTCATTTACTGTACAATATTTTCTTGCATAACCTGAGCTTTTAAAAACTACTTTTTCTTTTCAATTTAGGAAAAGATTTTGCCAAATGTAAACTAGTTCAGAATAATTGGAAAGTTAGGCAATTTACATTCCAAGCATGTTATAATGATTGTTTGTTTACACCTTAATTAATCTACTTGTTTACAACTTAACTAATGTTAAACTACTTGGTAGAAGCCACTGATACAATGTCTCCTCATTGTCCTAATTATAATTTTTGTACTTCTATCTGAAACTTGAAACTGTGTCTTTAAGACAACAGACTCCTTGAGATCAGCTAATAATTAGATATTTATATTGTCCAAGATCTATTTCAAGTTCTTTCAAATAAAGTGCATTATGTATAAAGTTGGTTGTAATTTCTAGAAGTTTTACGCAAACCGTTAACAAAAACACTCAAATTTTACACTTTATTTGATTGTTTCCGCGTTCCAAGTTTCTCAAAGTTTAAAAATTACGAGTAGAATGAACAGAGCACTTGGTATATTTCTTAAATCTACATGAATTCGTTTTCCGTTGATTCAATTATTAAATGGATCGCATAGTCTAACTTAAACTTAAATTAGTAATTTGATTTCTGGTACATCGAATACATATTGAATCAACAATGAACAAACAATATAGAAGTTAATAAACACGGAGCATTCTATAATCTAGGCTTTTTTTGAGCACTAGCTGTCTTTTGGAATACTTATTAAAATTATAAATATTTTCAAGGCAAACGTAAAAAAAATTATAGTAACTATTTTGAGAAGAGTATACATACGTTCATTATCTTCTATAAAGTGACGTGCAAGTACCAGACTCTATTAACGGTATTAAATCACGTAACATGGTCTTGTGACGAAGTATCTTCTCGCACACATACAAAAAACAATACAAAAATCTCATTACTATCCTAATATTAAATATACGGCATTTGCATACTAGTCCGTGTCCGTGTCCGTGTCCGTGTAGTGACGGATTAAGAATACGGAATGTCACTACCCCAATTCATTCCGTGGGTGTCGTAAGAGCCGACTAAGGGCACAAAACAACGCAGGACACCAGCACTGCAAAAAGAAGGAAAACTTGACACAAACCCTATACCAACCCGTCTGGCCAGCGTGGTATAGTAGGCCAAAACCTCCTTTCTAAGGAGAGGCCTATGTCCAGTAGTGGACTATTAAAGGCTGTTGATGTGATGATGTGATATGCATACTAGTTGGCCTTTGCTGCATCGAAAGTCAAACAGGAGTTCGTGCAAAATTCATCCATGAAAACAACTTACAAAAAGTGTAAGTAATGCAGACAAACAGTTCAGCATAAAACATTACTTACGAAATACTCTGCGTTACGCTGTACAGAAGTGCGTAACCTACTCTCCTCAAGGTGCACACTAAATAAAAAGTTATTTTTAAGCGATGACTGGTATTTTATCGTATACTTAATATTAATTAAAATGTTATTATTGTCACCTCTTCGTATTATTTACAATATTATAGCGTACAATATGCGTGCCTATCGTACGTAGGCACGTCATCATCATCATCTACAGCCTTTAATAGTCCACTGCTGGACATAAGCCTCTCCTTAGAAAGGAGGTTTGGCTTACTATACCACGCTGGCCAGACGGGTTGGTATAGGGTTTGTGTCAAGTTTCCCTTCTTTTTGCAGTGCTGGTGTCCTGCGTTGTTTTGCGCCCTTAGTCGGCTCTTACGACACCCACGGGATGAATCGGGGTAGTGACATTCCGTATTCTTAATCCGTCACTACACGGACAAGCCATGTGCGGTCGCCATTGTACAAGCCGCATTATAGTGCAAGCTGATTTTGTTGTATTTATAGTAAAATAAAGAGATTTACTATTATTATTACATGACTGCTTTAAACCAATGGACGAGCAAGTACCCAAATGCCGTGTGTGCTCATAAGTTGCACCATGAAGTAAGTCTAATTGTATTTTTTTTCTTTTTTAAAGAAATTTCGCTTCAAAAGCGTTAATGTTAATATTCCTTATATAAAATGTTATGAGCTTCTCCGTAGACTGACAGGAATACAAAACTGCATACCTTATTGCCTTTATAGAATGAATAATGACAACGTGTTATAAAATTATGACAGGATGTGAAATGGTCGATCAAATATGGAAGTATTATTACTACACTACTGGCAAGTTTTAAACGTTCAGAAATCTGCTAATCCTGGTAACATTGCTGGTGGTTAATGCTGGCAACACCGGTTATCCCTTGAGAGACTTAATCGCTTTTGGTTTCCCGACATATCTTTCGAATTCTACTGTCGCTACCACTTATAGCTATATACATATATACATTATCCGGATTATGTGATAATCTTAGACAGTGCGAGTTCCGGCAATGCCGAGGCACACATCAACAGCCTATACTAGTCCACTGCTGGATATAGGCCTCTCCTTAGAAAGGAGGTTTTGGCCTACTATACCACGCTGGCCAGACGGGTTGGTATAGGGTTTGTTTCAAGTTTTCCTTCTCTTTGCAGTGCTGGTGTCCTGCGTTGTTTTGCGGCCGAGGCACAGGGCGCAGTGTAGAACGGTTTATGGTGCGTTACGGTGTGTACTTGCACCAGGCACATCAAATGCAAGTTACGAATGTTACGATACTGTCCTTAGCAGAACGTTTTGGCTTTATCATAGTGACTTTTAAGCTCTCAAGACAGCCATCTTTGTACTAAAATTTTTAACAATAAAAAAGTAAATTAGATGCAGCTTTGTTTTTTACTTTTAAACTTTCGCGTCCCATTATATACTTTTCTTTTGATTACTTAAGAATAAATGCGATTAATAGATACTGTACACCTTTGTATTGTCTGACGCTTCGGTCCAGGTTGACCAGGTTGGACGGCCGTGGTCACAGACCGAGTCAAGGCCGCCTGTGACCACGGTTGTTAGTAATAGCTTTATATTACGTTGTCCACGGTGAGCTAATACAATAACAAACAAATACATGTATGACAAATCTTCTAAAAGTGGAAGAGGCGAAAATACCAGCGTTGTCGAAAATAGCGCTATTGTCTCTGTGTGACCCGTATCTAAATGTAAAAATAGAAATACTGGAACAGTAAGACTAGGTTATGGCTTAAACCGGCTCTTGGTAGATGAAGAGGATGATGAGACTCTCAGCTAATATGATGTGCATTCATCAATCCTTTTCTCGAGTCATGCTTTCAAGGAGACTGTAGAACTATTTTTTATATTATTTTTGCGAGTAGCTGAACATCATACGGAGTCTTGAACGACGTCAGAAGAGGTGTCCAGGTCTGCGAATGAGTCAGGTAGCCTTCTGTGTAGAGTGTCAGGAACCAGCCTTGTGAGAACAGCACTTACTAGCGGCAGGGTTCCGAATAAGGCTGTAGGAAGCCACCACTTGTACGTCGCCTGGAATTGGTGAATAATTAATTTTAAAAACTTAAGTAAAAAAAATATTCGAACTCGTGCATAAAACCTTCACTCCCGCGAAACTGAGTGTTCTGATCGCTTAAAGCAAAATAAACTCTCACGAATGGAGGTACAGCATATTATTGACTACACGTTGCAAATATAAATGTTCAATTAGGTTCATGTATTGCCGTACGTTCTAGATTGTACTTTATTACTCAGTAGCTAGAGTCGTTTTTTGTTTGTCTTCAGCAAATTATCTTTCTGTACGTTACAACTGTTATATAATATAATTTCATAAAGTGTTCTTACCAGTGCAGGCGTGAGGGGTGAAATGATAGCTCCTATACGTCCTAAGGTGGAGCAGGCTGCCAGCAGCCTCTGTCTCGCTCTGGTAGGAAACAACTCCGCGGTATACACGTACAGTGCGTTCAAAGTCATAGTAGCTCCCATCTTTCCAATCAGAAACAGCGCTATGCTCCAGTTGCCGCTAGCTACATTAAAAATAAATGGAAATAATATTAACTTTCTCTTTCTAGATATAATAATAATAAACTGGGCAGAGCCTACACGGTAACCAGACTACTAATAAACAAACTTACATAGTAATATGTAAGTCTATGGTTTTATGTTTAAAAACAATTATATTATAAACCAACTATCTGGAAAAGCGCTGCCTTAGTGGTGTAGTAGGGTACGCGACTGCAGTCCATGTGGCCTCGGGTTCGATGCCCAGACCGAGCAAAATTTCATAGGGTTTTTCTGACAGGAAAAACAGCCTAAGTGACTCCTTATATAGACTGGTAGTGAAATATTTTCAAGATCGGTCCGGCCTATTTGAAGATTACCCGGAACAAACAGACAGACAGAGAAAAAATATTTAAACTGAGTTTTAGGCATAGGTAAAAAACCCAATTATTTTTACATTATAAACATACACTTTAATTTTGTTTATTTGTAGATGTAAAAATTATACTCAGAGAAGTAGTCAATTATCGTCCTCATCACACAAATTTGTCCTGTTTGGAATCGAACCCACGACATCTGCTCTTTAGTCAGAAGTTCGAGCCACAGGTATACGAAACGTGACTTACTCTTACTATTTCTTGCTCTCCCTATCCGTCAATATAAGCAATATGGCGTCAGACGTTTAACGTTGTAGTTAAAGCGGTTATAGATAGTTAGAACTTTCATTCGTGTGGCAGTAACCACACGAATGAAAGTTGTATATTTACAAGCCCACGCACACATAGGGCCGCGCGCACAACTGAGTTGAACTATCTATACCACTTCCTCCTGGGTATGTGTGTGGGTTCGAACCCCACACGGGACAACGCTTTGTGTAATCAACAAACTGTTGTTTTGAGTCTAGGTGTTCTTCGTGTCCATTTCATGAATATTTGTAAAGTAAAAACCTTTCAGTTTAAACTCAAAATTACCACCTAATTCTTAAAGGGATATTTTTAAAAGCTCATCAAAAAACTTATCAATATCACCCATCAATTTATATTTATCAATTAAATAATTTATTCTTCAAACTATTTCATTGAAAATAAACCAATTGTAAACCAAAACTATAATACTTACTAAAAAAAAATCGAAAATATACATCAACAGTGTATTACATTTTGTTCTTAAAAGCGCGACAAAAATTTGCTTAAAGCAAGAAATATATTATTTTATATATTATTTATTTTATATTTTATACTTACTATTTATTTTATATATTATTTTCATATCAAATGTACTGATTGCACATCAAATTACCCAGAGCGTAGAAACCCAATATAGAAAGGGAAGGTTTTTTGATTCGCAGTTAAATACTACCCAATCCTAAAATGCTCGGTTGACCTTTATAGACCTGCCCCTTGCATGAGTAAGAATAAAACTGTAGTCGTCCTAATGTGGGTGTTAAAATACGTGTTTACCTCTTCGGGGATACTTATACTTTTATAATATATTAGCTTAGGCCCTCGGCTCCGCCCGAGTGTATTATATCCCGGTAAAAATTAGCCTATGTTACCTGCTGATAATGTGGCTTTCCACAGGTTTTTTTTTTAATCGTTTTAGTGGAGCACAAAGGGGACATAGGGGTTCCTACACAGGAGGGGGTTATTTACGCCCGTAGATGGCCCGAGGTACGTCGGGGTATCAAGGTTTTCCTTCCTAATGTACACCTGTTTCCCCGGCAACTAGTACCCGAGACGGCGTGCGGTTTTTAGTCGGTTCGAGTCCGACATAACCACCGGTGGGTGGTATCCGAGGGGATTTCCGCACAGAAAAAAAAAATAGGCATAACAAACAAACAAATTCACTTTCTCATTTATAAGTATGGATTGGAAGAATAGTTCGCAGAATACGTTTACTCTTTAAAGTTGTAGCTTGAATAGATACAGTGTATATAATGCTTAAATAGTGTTTAGTAAATACCGATACGTATAAGTTTCTAAAGATATATGTATGTGTCACAATGATCTTATCCTTTAACTAGCTGACCCGCGCAACTTCGTCTGCGTCTCTCAATAGTAATAAATTTTCTCCGTTTTTGAAACATTCTTCATTGGTGCTCCGCTCCTATTGCTCTTAGCGTGATGATATATAGCCTATAGCCTTCCTCGATAAATGGGCTATCTAACACTGAAAGAATTTTTCAAATCGGACCAGTAGTTCCTGAGATTAGCGCGTTCAAACAAACAAACAAACAAACAAACAAACAAACTCTTCAGCTTTATAATATCCTTTAATTAAACGATTGCGACACAACTGTGTAATCAATATGACACTAACCTTGGCAAACTGATTTGAGGCAGACACAACAAAATTGTTTTTCTTTCTTTGAAGTGGTGTTATCTATGAGTAATTATATTATTTTCGTAAAACTTGATAGGTCTGTTCAAACCTGTTTAATTTACAAAACTCCAAAAGAAAAAACCGCTGTCAAACTTTTCAGTTTTATGAATAAAGAATAAGTGTCTAACTAGGATTTTCTTATTTTATTGAAACGGTACTTAGGGACCCTAGAGGCAAAATAAGGGAAATTACTTCTTCATTTTCTTGCCTCTTCTCAAGTCCCGTCTTGAGAATAGGCAAGAAAAGAAAGAAGTGTGCAAGAAATGTGGAAGCGGATATATATCATAACATCGATGATGACGACCGAATGGCGTAGTGGTTTGTGTAACGGACTGCTATTCCAAAGGTCGCGGGTTCGATTCCCGCTCAAGTCAAACATTTATGTGCATGAACATTTAATGTTTGATTTGGTCTGGGTGTTTCTATGTATAATAAGTATATATTTACAAAAAAAAAGTATATATATGTATTTATATCAGTTGTCTAGTACCCATAATACAAGCTCTGCTTAGTTTGGAACTAGATGGCGTTGTGTGAATGTGGTACAATATTATTATTATTATATACACATATTACAGAAAACAACAGTCGGCTATAATCGAAGACCTCAAAGAAGGAATAGTGGTCATAAAAGGTAGACTCACATTGCGGTAGACAAGAGATGCCAATGAGCGCAGAGGCGGTCAACAGCAGCGCAGCAGTAAAGAGAGGACGACGGCCGATGCGATCCAGCAGCAAAGTGTTAGCCAACAACGCAGGAAGCTCGGCTGCGGCCACCAGCGCATAGTTAGCGTGCCGCGATCCTGCTAAGGAGTGTGCTGCCACGGCCAGCCCGTAGAATACAAACACCGCTGACATCCACCAAACAAAACACACACATAACCGTCGTCGTAGTGCTGAGTACCTGGAAGTATCAGAGAAACTTTAATAGATCTAACTTCAAGAGAAATCTGAACAGATTTGTATTTTTTGTATGAAATATCTTTTGAAATGACTCCTACTTCTACTGAATGCTCTATCTTATCAGTATTAGAATTCCTTTGAGAAGAAGTTAGAATCAAGAGTGTTGCCTGATTTTATGCTTCAGTAAACATATGCCCTAACACATGTATATTGAAACACACATACTCTTTAATAGTACTTACTTTAATAACGCCCTGAACAGTCCTTCGTCTATATCAGCCACTCCTTTTTCTGCCATCTGCTCTTTTTCTAACATAATCTTCTCCAGCGCATCACTTGGCAAATTGATTCGGTTACATTTGGCCGCTTTCTTTATAATTGCTATCGCTTCATCCAATCTTCCTCTTGATACCAGCCATCGGACGCTCTCAGGCAGAAGCCAGGGGTATAGTAGGAGTAATAGAGAAGGCGGGTACGCCCACCTAGCCCAAGTTCTCCAATATCCCGTCGCGTAATCCAATAGAGAAAGAGAAGCAGCTCCCAATGAGAGTGGGATACCAAGTACCAAGCTGGCAAGGATGCGATGTTCCACACCGAGCCATTCAATCACTGAAAATGATACCATACACGATTTTAGTGAAGGTTTTAGAAAAGCTTCCAGAGAGTGTCTAATTATATTGTAAGGCTAAGAATTTGCAACTTTGTGAACCGTAAAATAAAGTCTCATTATCGCTTGACGAGAAAGTAAATTCTAAATGAAAAAATACATACAGATTTTTGTTGCAGTAACAGGACCCACATAATAACTATTTGAAATATGTTTTTTGAATCCTGTCCAAATATGATCCAAGTGCACAGTAGCCCTCATAATAAAGACAAATTCCCCACATATTACATGACGACCTAATGCAATCTACTTAAAAATATCAAACCATGGCTTTTCAAAATATTCTTCTCCACAAGATTTCGTATTGTTCTATAATCATCATTATTCCTAACCTACTGAATATAAACTGACTTAGCATCTAGTGGCACTATCCAATCTAACAATTAAAACTATTAAAATCAGATGAAAATCAAGAGCCAACCCCCATGGTCTGCCAACCTTTTTACAACATGTTCTCTTGTGAAACATGGGGTCTCATATATGAAGGTAACTAACTGAGCACGAATGCGCAGGGGTAGACGCTGGCGCCCAGTATAGTCTCAAACAGCTCTGCTACCAGGTACGTGTAGTAGGAAGGCACGAAGGACTTGATTAGTCCCACCACGCCTGCACCAAAGCCACTTATCACCAAAGCCCCGCGGCGACCATATCTGGAACGAAATTCAAGGGATTTGATTTATTATTATTTTTAACGACTGTCCGTGTGGTGACGGATAAGAATACGGAATGTCACCACCCCAATTCATAACGTGGGTGTCGTAAGAGCCGACTAAGGCAACAAACTACGCAGGACAACATCTCTGCAAAAAGAAGGAAAACTTGACATAAACCCTATACCAACCCGTCTGGCCAGCGTGGTATAGTAGGCTATAACCTCCTTTTTAAGAAGAGGCTTATGTCCAGCAGTGGACTACTAAAGGCTGTTGATGATGATGACGATAAAACGACACAAAAGAAGGAAGTTCTTTTTGTTTGTTACTTTAGACCTCCGTCATTTGTGAGCCGGTTTGGAAAATTCTTTTAACTTTTAAGAAAGCGAAAACCTGGGTGAAAGCTAGTTCCGTATTTTTATGTAAAATCAAATCTGAAGAATTTACACATTTGGCTCGGCATATCTGCAATATAAACTGACATCTATGATTTAAATTCAAGAAGTGCTCAAGCAATAAATCTTATTATTATTATTATATAATTAAAAATACTGTTCAAACAATATTACCTACATTGTTTTAACAGTATTTTTGAACTGCCGCGTGAACCGAATTAAAATTTATTACTGAACAAAAAATAACTCCAAATTTGTAACTATCATAATTTTCAGCTTACAAAACAAAATTTTGAATTGCCTGACATTTCGGTCAGGTTACATTGAACGTGGTCACAATCCGCCAGTGAACGGCGTTTGTAAACATGGCGTTATTAATTACATTAACTCCCGAAGTATTAATTGTAATTCTAAAATTTCTCTCCGTTTACATTCTTACTTTCCTGATACTCTCGTAAAATATTTTTTAGTCATCAAAACACCCTTTGCCTAAGATTATTAGCGACTGCGAACGTGTGAATGATTATGCCAATGATCTAAAATTGATTATCTCTACAACAGTCATTATATTCTACATAAATAGCAGATTATTTGTACTCGTAGAACTGAAGAACGTGTAAGCACAAGTTAATGATAGATATCCGTTCTGAAAACAAGCCTTTGCCTTCAGTTTCACTCACGTAAATTAATTCCAGTATTCTTCATAAAGTGTACTTCATAAACATTTTGCTTAACACCATAATTATGTTCTTTTTTGCATTATTGCCAATATGTCTGTTTTCATGATAAACAATCAATTCTTTAAGGAGTGAAACCATTACAAATTATAATAAACAAATACGATAATAATGTTAAAATAATGTTGATATCGCATTACGATACAATCAACTTCAAGCACCAGTGAATAAATATATTAAAATCATTCTGTAATTGGGACTCGAGCATGTGGGTGGCCTTTGCATATGGTTACGGCGCAAAACCAATATTTACGTCCGAGTGCGTTTGTTCAGACGTTTAAATGAACACCATGCCTGAAGTTCATTCTACAGCCTCTATTTTTAGCATTTCATAGTTAAATAAAGTATTTATTTAGACAACTCCTTTGTCCTGTCTTACGTTAAACCTTTTTCAAAATCTATACAAATAAATAAAATTGGAGTGTATGTTTGTAATATTAAAATAACCGCTTTTTACTAAATGCATATGTATGTTTACACGGTACATATGCCAAAATAACATTTTTTACAATTTTTGTCTGTCTGTCTGTTTGTTCTGGGTAATCTCTGGATCGATTTCGACGGGACTTTCACTGGCAGATAGCTGATGACATAAGGAGTAACTTAGGCTACTTTTTTAGACTAGCTTCGCCCCGCGGCGTTGCCCGCGGTTATAACAACAAACCCGGGTAACACCGCGGGTCTCAGCTAATGTAAAATAAAAGCAATCAACGTGCGGCTACAGAACGTGACCTTATACCCGTTACTATATCCTTCCAAATCAAGATCACGTGGATATCTAAGGCCTCTCTTGTGAGTTTCTTTCATTCCTACTCTATTGTCACGGTGACCGCGAACAGCGCTGCGATTGACCCGCACGAAAATCGATTTATTGAAGATTGTGGTGCTAGTGCGACCATGATCTGGTCCACCTATACTCATAGGTATGGTAAATGCTATAAAGCCGCCATTTGTAAAATCTATTACTGCTATTTAGCTCTTTTCTTTGTTTTCCTGGTGTACAATAAGTACATTGTGATGTTATAAGCTATGTAGGTATCTTTTTCTTAATAATAACTTCTGACCAAACTTTCGTTTTTACGAGTTCGCAAAAGCTGGTGAGATTACTAAAAGCGCCAGAACGGCTGAACGGATTTAGATGACAGATTTCCACTTTTTGTATGGATTTTGGTTTTTTGACTATGACTCAAATAGACTGATATTCAGCAGATAAAATGAGGAATTGACAATACAATAGGATGGTAATACTAAATATGCTTTATGCTATTGTTTATTCACAAGATAAATCAATAGTAAGTAACGCTTTTCGCCTGAACATGACGTAGTCTATCATTGTCTATTTATATTAGTAGAAATCTCACATTTCTGTATAGCAAACGCAAAGTAATAATCGTCATCCATCTGTCATGCGTGACGCGTCAGAGACAATTGTCAAACTTGTCATTTTATTTTTTATTGGGCATCGGTAGCAGAAGTTTAGTTTTGTATTCGGCCTAAAAATATGCCAAAATAAAAACGATGTTTTTTCAAAATTGCTGTAATTTAAAAATTCATTATAGAAATCATAATATTAGTTCTAAGTTTGTACAAAAATATGTGGTTCATCGGTACTAAAAGTTGTTAAAAATAAAAAGCTATTTCTGGACACCTCCTTTTAAAAAGTAGTACCTACTTAATACAAATATGTAGCGTAGTAACCATACGTTTTTTTTTTATTTAATAGGGGAGAAACGGGCAGACTGGTCACTTGATCGAAAACGACTACTGCCATGAACGCCTGCACAAAAAACACCTAAAAAGTGATTTCTCGCTATTTTAACGAATAAACAGCGTTGTAATACCCCCAGCACGTGTTTTATATTTTACTTTAAGGATATGAGCGAAGTTTGCGTGTCATGGTATTCACTACCTATTTTTAAATTCCGCAGTCTTACGGGAGAAAAATAAAACAGATAATTCCGTAGATTCCAGTCAAAATAGACACTCAAGGTTACAATCAATCGGATAGTTCTAAAAATTGGTACGAAGTTGAGAACACCATTATTAATGTAACGTAAAAAACCCAAATTGGTCCCTCATTTAAAAATAAATTACTCAAGGTCACCGGACTGCAAATGTGCAAATGTTCTAAATTTATTAGCCAAGCCCTTAACTTTTATCATGAAATAGGTCAGATAGTACTTGCAGATGTACAGCTTAACTTTACAGATACAGCTTCGTAAAGTAATGCTACGTGAAATGCCCTCTTCTTGATATTCCGTATCGCTAATAGGCATTGATATCCTTTGTATAGGATACTGGCATACATACTAGTAATGTCTTAATATCCAAAAGTATATAGGAAAAGAAGCATTCATTAACGCATAGATTCATTCCGTAGCATATTAATTACCAATACGTAAAAACATGCATAAGAAATTCTGTACTCTGTGTACAGAATTTCTTATGCATGGGTCGTTACCTGTCAGAAACAAAGCCCATGATTGGCAGTGAGATGAGCATGCCCACGTTATGGACGGTCCCCACGAGACGCTGCATCCAGTCCGCGCACGCCAGGTCAAACTGGAAAACAGAACAACAATTTTAGGTCTATAAAAATGGGTTTTTATTGCCCAATTGAATTGGCGACCGTGACACTGCCGTTAAATATGAAATCAGTTTCAGGGCACTAACACTTACCACGATAATAATACGTCCAGTTGACCTACTTGAAGTTAGATACAAGTGGCATCACAATGACTTCTACCAATAACAATTAGTTCTACGGATTCGTACCTTCTGCTAAATAGTTTTTGAAAAAACGTACTGCTGTAGAAAATTTGCTAGCAGCGAGAGCCAGTAATATTTGCTTGAAGAAATATTTAGGAACGCATTTATTGAAATTAGTACAAGTATGACTTCTTCAAAAGAGAATAAATACAAACAATGTGTTTACAACATTTCACAAGAAAGACATAAGCAAAAAAAAAATTAAAACGACATTACAATCTTTACCTACCGTAATTAAAAATCCGAGAGGTAATAAAAACGTATCGGGTATCGGGCCTTTTTTTGTACCACATTTATGCAAATAAACTGATTATCATCATCATCAACAGCCCTTAACAGTCCACCACCAAAGTCTCAATAGGCAGTTCTCAATTCGGATGTGTTTTTAAGATTTTTGTTTATTAATTTCATCATAATCTTCAACAGCCTTTAATAGTCCACTGCTAAACATAGGCCTCTCCTTACAATTGAGGTTTTGGCCTACTATACCACGCTGGGCAGACGGGTTGGTATAGGTTTGATTTAAGTTTTCCTTCTCTTTGCAGTGCGGTTGTCCTGCGTAGTTTTCTCCCTTAGTCAGCTCTTACGACACCCACGGGATGAATAGGGGTGGTGACACTCTGTATTCTTAATTAATAATATAATAATAATAATAATATATCTCACACACTCACACACGGCTGTCTGATCCCAAACTAGGCAGAGCCTGTACTATGGTAACCAGACCGCTGATAAACATACTTTTATATTTCTAAATACATACATATTATAGATAAATTACACCCAGACACAGAACAAATGACCGTGCTCATCACACAATATTTGTCCTGGGAGGGAATCGAACCCACGACCTCCGGTTTAGCAGTCAGGGTCACTAACCACCAGACCAACAGGCCCGTCAATTATATCACGGTTATCATTCATATTAAACTCATTCGGGTTTAAAGCAAACTCTACCTCTCTCTTCTCTCTTTCTTGCCAATCATTATTCATCAATGAAATAGTCGTTAACTAATTCATTTTGATTATAAATTCGTAGCTCACATTAACAATCATAGTTATGTCACACTTACGAGTATAAATATTGAAATAAAAAAATACATTCGTTTCTTCATAATCACAAATCTTCTAAATTGTTTTCAAACATTTTTTTTACAGCAATTTATTTATATACGCTCGTATATTTTTCTTTTTTCATAGTTTCTTTTATTTGTATTTGTCGTCAGTTTGTATTTTATAAGTGAGGCACCGTTAAGACAGTTATCATGGTTTAATGCGTTGGCAAGGATACATCAAAAAGCATAGGGTATTTTTCAACCAGAAGAAATTGGGAAAGGTTTTTTATGGTAAGGGGCCAAGGGGGCCAAACCAGCAACAGTTATAGCTCAAGAGTCACATATGCATCGCCGTTCTTTAGTTGCCCTTCCCAGAAATAGGGAGAGGGGAGATTTTGGACTTCGAAAATCTCACTCATTCGGTGAAACACAACGATAGGATTGCTTAACACTGTTGTTCTGTGAGGCCGTGGTATCACCAGCATAAAAACCACTAGGCATAAGTTATTACTTATAAAGTAGTATAATAGAAGTATAAAGAAGTAGTAAAGAACTACAACTTGCCTTCATATTTATATAATTAATAAATTAATATTTCATATTTATATATAGGTGTACAAATAAGTTTCCGCCGTTTTTTACAAAAAAAAATAGAGGTTTATTCTGAAAGAACAGTACATTATGTTTTATTCAAAGTATTGTGCATCATTAGCCACTTCTTTTTCCATCTTTCTGACAGCATTCGAATACCATGTCGAAAGAACTCTTTATCTTTTGTAGCTATCCACGAATAAACCCAATTTTTAGTAACTTCATATCATGTAAAGTACTGCTCAGACAGGCCATGTGCCTTCGACCGGAATAGATAATAATCAGACGGGGCAATGTCTGGTGAATAAGGCGGGTGAGGTAGCACTTCCCAATTAAGTGTTTCTAAATAATTCTTGACCGGCACCGCAACATGCGGACGAGCATTATCATGTAGGAGAATAATCTTGTCATGTCTTAAGTAGTAATGGGCGCGTTTTTCCTTGAGTGCTCGGCTCAATCTCATTAACTGTGTTCGATAGTGAGCTCCAGTGATGGTTTCGCCCGGTTTCAGCAACTCATAATAAATGACACCAGGCTGATCCCCCCATTTCCTTGTTTTTGAATCATTCCCAACGATGAGAAATTGCTTGTTGAGTCACTTGTAATGTACGTGCGAGTTCTTCTTGCGTTTGGCGCGAATCTTTCATCAATAATGCTTCCAATTCCGTGTCTTCGTACGATTTCGGTCTTCCACTACGTTCTTTGTCTTCCACAACAAAATCACAGTTTTTAAACTTTTGAAACCACTCACGACAACTTCTCTCGCTCAAAGCAGCTTCACCATAAGCTTCTACAAGTTATCGATGGGCCTCAGCTGCCGTTTTCTTCAAATTAAAGAAGTAAAGTAACAGTTCCCGCAAATGACGCTTATTCGGTACAAAACTTGACATTTTTGCACAAAAAGAAATATGTGATACGGATAAAGAGTCACTAATACTCTAAGTGTATGTTGTTACTAGATGTCCAAACTCACGATATCACATGTTACATCTGACGATTTTAACGTAATCTTTTAGTGAGGACATCTTTCGTTAAACGGCGGAAACTTATTTGTACACCTAATATAATTAATTAATAAATTATATAAATATGAAGGCAAGTTGCAGTTCTTTCTAGCTCTTACTGACCTCAGCAACGATACTGCTTCCATGTTCATACACATAGTTTTCGCACGCGACAGTTGTGTTGTCGAAGTGGTCGCGATGTGCGCAAGCGCTGTATATCGATACTCTTCGCTCGCATTGAGCACCATCGGGAATCGCCCACTGCGACCACTCTGGAGTCCACTGGTCAGGTGACGCCACACCAATGGTGGAATTCTCCTCGCATTCTGGCACGTGACATCTGTAGGAGAAAAAACATTATTGATTTGACTTACTCAAAAAAAAAGTCTATTAACTTCTAATAAATTTGATGATTAATTTTGTACTTAATTATGTTTTCGATAATGATGATGCTAATTCTGTAACCATTAAAACCTACAGACTCCAAAACGTATTCCTAAGTATTACTAGAAATGATTTTGTTTTGTCTGGTATTGCTTACATAAAGGGAATGATAGACCTATAAACATAGATATCTAATAATCGCAGTGTCCCGATTGTTGGTAAAACCTTTAAACTAATTTCACGTGAAATATTCTTGATAATTTGGAGGATCTATGGTTCCGGAGACTGTTCTCATTCGACCTTGTCTCTGGTCACGCATCAAAGAATATTTAACTAGAAGCAATTAACAGTAGCTACCTATTTGTCTAATATCTCAGACAGAAATAGCCCATGATCAGTAGACAATCAGCAACGATTCAATTGTTCATTTAAATCAGTAATTTAAATTACATACATCAAGTAAAACTCGCCTACTATTTGTAGATTATTTTTTTCTAATTTGTTCCATTATTTTTAAATGTAATAATAGTTTAGATCTGGTGTTTTAAAGATGCTTATCTAACAAAGTTTCTATATAATGGACCCTATATTCATCATCTTAGAGTCTGAGCTTTATTCAATTTTGTTTGGAATCGACTCAATATAAACATTGCAAAGAGTTTTGACTTGTTTCTTTCATAGTTAGCCGCCTGTCTGTCGCCAATCTCCTTGAAAATATAATCCTTATGACAGAACACAGAAAGAAAGTAAATTTGAAAAGAAAATATGAGTAGGGGTGACAAGTTAAGATAGGGATAGCGTAAGTTAATATAAATACACACGCTGCTATAATCCTACCTATGTAACATTATAAATGCGTAACTTAGTTTCTTTTTCTTACGTCATTGCACCTTCTTGTCTTTAGTTGGAAGCCCTATCGAGGTTTCAAACAAACCGGCTAAGCAAATAATAAAATAAATAGTATTCAGTACACGGTGCCGCGTGATGTAGAGAGAGGGGGAGGAGCAGATGCAGATTTTGGGAGTACTCTTTGCGTCAGCGCTCAGTAGTACAATTTAAAATCATTATAATAAAATCATAGTATTCAAAGTGAACCAAAAATGCAGATAATTTTGTTTTTTAAAGCTAGCTCAACTCTACTTGTACTATTTGTATGTATGTAGTTGTTGATTGAAATAAGTAATTAAATGATAAGCACACAAGTATAAAATGGATGTATATGTATATTTTCCTTTGCTTTTTTATCATTTTTATTCCTTAGTTTAGTCAGTTATTCAGTAAAAGTATGCTTAGTTAGGTTGTTGACATAACGGAAGTATAACAAAGGTAAATACTGTTTTTGTGTAGAATTCCTAAAGCCAACCAATGTGAAGCACAATATCACACCCATAGCGTTGCTTAGCATGTTTAGTACTGTCCCACAAAAAGGTAAGTAGGCTGAGCTAGCCTGTAGGGTACTAAAAACTTAATATCAACCTCTAAAATGTATTTAGTAAGATTCGAACTCACAACTGCCGTTTTTTTCATGTTACCGCAGCCTTGTATACGAGTATAAGTATTACTATATTTGGACGTGGCGTGTATGTCAGTTATCGCTGTGTCCTTCCTCGAGAATCAATCTGGGGTAAAAACTAGCCTATGCCTTTTCTTACAACTCAAACTATCTAACTCTATATATCCATACCAAATTTCATATAAATCTGTTCAGCTGTTATTCCCCACACAATCTTCCACCCCCTTTACACCGCCTTAAAGAATTAGTTCTGGGATAAAAACCATACTGTATTCTTTCCCGGGACTCAAACTATCTTAATTCTAAATGATATCTAAATCGGTTCTTGGGTTTAAGCGTGTAGAGTAACATACAAACACTTTGACGGGCCTGTTGGTCTAGTGGTTAGTGACCCTGACTGCTAAGCCGGAGGTCGTGGGTTCGATTCCCACCCAGGACAAATATTGTGTGATGAGCACGATCATTTGTTCTGTGTCTGGGTGTAATTTATCTATAATATGTATGTATTTAAAAATATATAAGTATGTTTATCAGCAGTCTGGTTACCAAAGCACAGGCTCTGCCTAGTTTGGGATCAGACGGCCGTGTGTGAGATGGGTGAGGTATATTATATTATTATTATTATTACTTTCGCATATTTAATATTAGTGACATAGAATTGTATGGGCAACAAATGAGCAGACGGATCATCTGATGACAAGTGTCTACCGGTGCCTATAAATAACTGCAAGTCAATCAAATCAAATCAAATGAAATCCAATCATTTATTTGTGATAGGTACATGGGTTACATACAGGTGTTCATTACATAATTAGTAACGATGTTCATTCCATGATCTGCCATTTGGGCATACAAATTATTAAGCAATATATTGATTAATATTTAAAATTATAATATTTAAAAAATATGTATATATATTAAAATTCTGATTATTTGATAAAAAAATCATTAAAGTATATATATAAATTCTATTATTACTGTAGGTGATGTGATTATGACATACGCAAGAAATTCAACAACAATCAACGCCAACATTAAACTTGGACATGAAACACTTAAAAAAATCGAGTCGATAGAAATTCATCAACAGATACAGATACATCAATAGCACCTTACCACCTTTTGAGTCAAGAATTGCTGAGATAATCTCAGTCACTCAATAAAGAACAACGAACAAATTGCACCATTTTTCTATGAGGCCATAGCATCACTCCCGTCGAACTGGCCCTCATATGCCAAAGCATTTCCCTCCCACGTTGTGTGTGTTCTCAGTGATGGAAATTATTGCTACTTTTAAGTAATGACCATGTGATGAATTGATTGGTTATAGTCACTTCTTCTTTTTTTTGTATTTCTTTTAAAAAATACAACTCCCGCATTAGGAATGTATCCTGTGTTGCTGGGGACTTTACAAACATACTTGAAACAGACACAAAGAACACCCAGACTCAGAACAACAATTTGTGGATCACACAAAGTGTCGTCCCATGTGGGGATCGGACCCACAACACTCAGCGAAGTAGGAAGCGGCGTGGCAACCGCTTAAACCGCTACACCACTACTGTGATTTTGTCACAGGCAAAGATAGATGCCCTCAAAACTTAAGCAAAGAAATAAAAAAAATATACCTATTGAATTTTCTTTTTATCAAAGACTACGACTTTTTTTTAGATTAAGACCTTAATCTCGCGTAATTCTAAGTCGCACTGATTTTGTAGATTAGAAAGATTAGTCACAGGTGTGATGCATGATTTTCAAATCATATGATTTAAACCAGCTGCTTGTGATTTTATTCCATTCCTAGTTCTCATTGTGCTTGAATTCCATTAAGGATATAAGAGAAATCGTTCAGATGGATTACCCTAAACACTGTTGTAAAATATACCTACATAGTACAAATACATATAAGTAATTAAAATAATCACTGTACGCAAGTTGTTTTGTGAGTGATACGAGGCTGAGTACTCGCTGTGGTAAGCATGAAATCGGTATCAAACTTATGTAGCCCACCAACAATGGACTGATAAAAAAAAGGGTGATAACAAAGTTGTACATGTATCACTTGCTTAGCCTGTGGGTTTACTTTGTTATACCCCTCTTTGGTAAAAATACGTAACATTTTTAAATTGTCTTAGGCAATAGGCTAACGACATCCTTTGGCGCCCGTTTATTAAGTTTGGATTCAGGATGAGATTTTTTTTTAAATGGAAGAGTGGGTAAACGAGCATCCGGGTCACCCGATGGAAAGCGACTACCGCGGCCCATGAACACCTGCAATTCAAGCGCGTTGCGTGTTACATAGCCTATAAGCCTTCCTAGAAAAATGGGCAATCCAATACTACAATAATTGTTCAATTCAAACCACTAATTCATAAGATTATTGCGTTCAAACAAACAAACTCTTCAGCTTAAAAATATTAGTGTACATATTTTGATTCTCCAGAAATTGTACTTTTCCTGTGTACCTGGATACAAGGCACCTATTTGTCATTTTATAAACATTTCATGATAATCGGTTTAGTAGAAAGGGTGTGATAGACAAACATACATTCACATTTATATTAGTTACAATGTCACCTATTTCGATACTTATTATCAGCATACGAAATATTTTTAATGAGCCCACATATTGATGATCTCTTATCTCTTTATTTTGTGTATTTAGATGTTTATAGAAATAAGTAAATAGGCTTTCGTAATTTTTTATACTACTTTCATTCCTAAATATTAGTAACTAATGCTAAATTCCGTGTAGTGACGGATTAAGAATACGGAATGTCACTACCCCAATTCATCCCGTGGATGTCGTAAGAGGCGACTAAGGACGCAAAACAACGCAGGACACCAACACTGCAAAAAGAAGGAAAACTTGACACAAACCCTATACCAACCCGTCTGGCCAGCGTGGTGTAGTAGGCCAAAACCTCTTTTCTAAGGAGAGGCTTATGTCCACCAGTGGACTATTAAAGGCTGTTGATGTGATGTTGATGATGAGAATGCTATAAACTTTATCTACCAAACTGATCAGACAGACTGATCAATGTAAGGGTAAAATGTTATTGAAAGTCAAGGCCAGCGAGGTATAGTAGGCCAAAACCTCTTTTCTAAGGAGAGGCCTATGTTCATATGGCAGTGGACTATTAAAGGCTGTTGATGTGATGTTGATGATGTGAATGCTATAAACTTTATCTACCAAACTGATCAGACAGACTGATCAATGTAAGGGTAAAATGTTATTGAAAGTCAAGTTTCTTTATTTTATATAGTTCCTTAAGAATTTTTTAACTTTTTTCTTTTTTTTAAATACAGATTAACGACATGTCACAACGAAAAGTTGCTTCGTCAAAACTTTCAAGACTTTTAATCGAAAAGATAAAAAAAGAAATTTTCCTTGGATAGACTGCAAACCACTTATGGTAGAATGACTCATATACAAAAGAAAC